GGGGGAGGGGAAGGGAGCCCAGGGGGCGCGCGAGCGACGTTGAAGCCGGCCCTCCCCTGCGCCCACGGACGCGCACGCGCATCCCAACGCCGACCGCCCCTCAGCGAGACCCTCATCCCGCTTGGGGAGTTGGGGGAGGGGGTGCCGATGACGCCCCCAGCCCCGTTACCTCCCGCGCGCTCAGCCGACCGATTCGCAGCCGCCTCCCCTCAGGCACAGTAGCGTAGCGCTCACCATGTTTCCGGAAGCTAAAGGAGATAGTAAGAAGAGCCTGGAAAGACGAGCGCCGCTGCAGCTGCTGCCGGGATCCGACTGAACGCGGCCTCTCCCGGCCCCTTCCGTTTAGTATGAACCGCACAATGAGGGGCGGGGCTGGCTTCCGGCGCTCCCACTGTTGGCCGACGGGTAATGAAGTCCGAGGATGCTGCACCGTCCGCCGGCCACATTGCATACTGGGAAATGTAGTCCGAGAGAGGCGGGGCTATGGCACGGAGCGCGCACCTATTGGTCGAGTTTCCCAGGAAACATTATGAACAGAGAAAGGTGTCGGCGCTCCTTAATAGACCCGTAAAGGAGCCCAGACTTCCCGAATTTTGCGAAACGGTTTTTCTTAAGAACTATGTTGGTACTTTTAGGGTTCCTTGGTTTGAAAATTTTCAGTGAGTTACCATTTTTTTTTTCTGAATTGAAGCAACTATTCATTGGCTTGGAATCCAGTCCTTGATCAAGGAGTATCGTCAAGTATAAGGTGTCTTCAATCTAATAAACATTCATTGGGCACTCTCCATGTGCAAAGACAGTCTTGTCTCCTGAGAAGACACCATATGCAGCATAAGCAAAATAAGAGAGAAAAATAAGGGAAAGACTACAAGGAAAATTTTATAAATAGCTTTGTTTTTAAGTGTTTGGCAAATTCACGAGGCAATAAAGGGAGAAGGGCAGGGGTTTGTGCATTCAATTCAAGGATTATGTGCCTTTTCTAGACAGTCAACAGAGGAAATAGGTATTAAATCTGGTTCTCGAGTTGATAACCAGGAATATGATTAAACCTACAAAAATTGAGACAAGCTCTGCAGGAACATAAGCTTCACAAAAAAGAAACTGGGGCGGAGGCTCCGGAAGATTTTGTTGGCCTCGAACAATGACCCTGGCCTCAGTGTGCAGGCAGAGAAAACAGGGTCGCAAACAGGGGAACTAGGACTACTGAAGTCACAAGTGGAAGCCGGGTTTTCATTATCTGGGGATCAGTGCCCGGAGTGGGGTACCTCGCAGAGCATGCTGGGGGTTGTAGTCAGGGACTTTGCGCCGCACCGCCCACCAACCGAGCTACGCGGAGCCACAGGTGAAGGCCACTGCTCGACCCCCGACTCTTGCTAGCGACCCAGCCTGAAGAAGCTGGCTCCACCTTTCTTAAGCCTTGGAGTTTCCAAGAGCAACGGGGAGGGGAAGGGCGATACCGCAGTTACCCTGGAGACGCTCCCGCCCGCCCCTAGCCGCGGGATGCCCTAGATGTCCTTATTAGGACAAGAGACTAGAGGGGGCGGGACCAAGCCTAAAGCTGGCTGGAGGCTCCTTATAAGGCAGCGTCGGGAGGGAGGCGGGAATTCTGAGTCCGCTGGAGGAGTAGGGTCGCGGCTGGGCGGAGTCTGAAGGGGCGGCTGACCCGGGCCAGCACCTCGTGACTTCCGGTACTGCTGCTGAGGCTGCTCCCACTCCCTGGCGGATGGATACCCTGGTGCTTCAACTCTTCGTGAATTTGCTAAACATTTCTTTCTTTTCTTTTTCTTTTTTTTTTTTACAGAGAGGAAGGGAGCGAGATAGAGAGTTAGAAACATCAATAAGAGGGAATCATCGATCAGCTGCCTCCTGCACATCCCCTACTGGGGATATGCCCGCAACCCAGGTACATGCCCTTGACCGGAATCGAACCGGGACCTTTCAGTCCGCAGGCCACCGCTCTATCCACTGAGCCAAACCGGTTTCGGCGAATTTGCTAAACATTTCAAACAAGGACGTATTGTCTCTCGACATGGGACCTCTTTGCATAGATTTCATCTGAAACCTCACCGAGGGTCCAATGAATCGCATAACGTCAAAGTGTTTCCTTCCACCCATGTCTTGCTTTTTACCTGCTCCAAATCTAACGACCTGCTGATCCCGGCCACCACCTGCCCAGCACCTCTTACTTGTTCCCCTTCTACTTGCACTCTGTCCCCCTCCCACAGTCCTTTGGCCTTCCCTGCACGTCCTCGACTTCGCACCCCTGCCCCATTGCCCTGTGTCGTTTCCTCTACCCCAGCTCGGGATCACCATTTCCTCAGAGGGTCCTTCAGCTCCTACTGCGTTACTTTTGTGTCCTTATGCCCTGCACACCTTCCTAGACATCTCTATTGAAAATGTACCTGCACCTGTTTGTCCCCCACCCACCACCGGTCCGGCCCTTCCCAAGCCCAGTTTCTTTCTCCGGCCTCCCCTGCTACGGTGAGGCTGAAACTGACAGCCTCGGGTTACTCGACTAAACGCCGCCCCAGCCAGCCCTCCGGGCCGCAAGGGGGCGCTGTTCTCTCCATCGCCTGCACAAAGACCGCTCTAGAATCCGTAGAGGGAGAAGGGACGGGTTTAGGCTCCGGGGCCGGGGTGGGGCGCGTCCAAATGACTGAAGGGGCGGGGGGCGGGGCGGTGGCTGG